AATAAGGCTTTATTGGATAAATCTAAGACATATAAACTAATCTAACACATAAACACATGCACTCACACATTCATACAAGTTGCAGGAAGGGAGAAAGTGAGGAAAGAATGAGTTTAAGAGAATGAAAATGTGAAATCCCAAGTTTACAGCAAGATGTGCAATTGCCTAGACCTGAACAACCATCAATCACTTAATTAACCCTCGAATTGAGTTCCTCAATGAGGTTAATTTATATTAAATGCACCAGTTCAGCTAGAATCTGGAGGTACTTGCGTTGCCTGTGTAGGGGGGTTCCCTTTGTTGTAGTCCTTGCAGAAAAGGGGGTTTCCCCGAGGTTGCTGATTGGCTGGAAGTTCAGTAGTCGTTGAATTGACGTCTTGGGAAGCCGATGGTTACAAATACACAGCCCAGCCTAAGATGGGTTTGATATTGGGAGGTATTATATGTAACCTAATTTGCGCACATCATGGGGCTGCTCTCAAAATGCAGAGAATTAAATGAGTTTTTGAATGCTCTCTCGTGTTTTACTTGCTTTTTCGAATTTGCCATCACGCGTTCTACAAGATGAGACGCTTGGGCTCTGTTGCACAACGAATCCTCCTTCATGGTCTTGTCAGTCATCTCGCCTTACTCTTGTGTGAGTCAGTGAACTCTGATTCCTGCTGCACTGTGCGCGACTCTGCAGCTTGTGCTGGATGAACAGAGCAGATGCTTTCAGTTTAGAATAGAAGCGACTGTTATCCAACTGAAGTAAATGTTTTTTATTTCTATAAAAAAGCAAAACGACAGTGGAAGCGAACGTAGCGGTGGCATCTTCCATGCTAATTTCACCCTCAGACTCAGTCATGACGATATCGCGAGACAGCTTTTCACCTTGACGAGAAATATCATCACATTTTAATATCGCGAGATCAAGTCACTAGTCAAGTAGATTACTTTGATTAATTTGTACTTAAGTACAAATTAATCAAATTTGTACTTAAGTTTACTTAAGTATGACTTAAAAATATACTCACGTAAGTACAAGTACCCGAAAAACTACTTAATGACAGTCACGTGAGTATTTGTAATTCGTTACCTCCAGCACTGGATTTTATACAATGTAAAAAGTAATAGCATGCGTTTTTTAAGCCACTATAACACTTGATAAGGTAGAAAATACACTGTGTAATTTCTAAACTGTAATAAAGTATGTGTCAATTATCACTGCATTATTAATTTACTTTATTGTTGTGAAAATAAAGATGGCTTGAAAAATACACATCAAGCATATATTGTCGCAGTCGTGTGTTTATGGTTTTCATGTTTCATTAGTCAAAATGTTTATGCTTTTTTTCATCTACAGCGATAGCTCCATGCCTTTGTTCGATAAGGTTGATAAGGAATTTCCTGGTATGTCATAAGCTGGGTTTTGACACAAATTTCACAATTCGATTCAATTCGATTATCCTTCACAAGCTTTCGATTTTATTCGATTCGTGTATTTGTATACAAACACTTAAAATATACTCAATATAATTTTTGTAATATTAAAGTTAATAATACTAACTTTAACTTTAGATTACATAATTATATTTCTACTCTAATTTAAATCATTTAAATGGTGGTTATCACAAAAACTTGACAGATTTATTCAAACATAAATTAAATATTGAAGAACAGTAAAAAATTATAATGAATGTGTTATATGGTGCATATTTAGCAAAATGCTCCTCTCTAGAGTTCATTTTTCTAGCTGACTAATGAGTTCATGGTCACCGAATATGTTTTTCTTTGGTAAATGTGACGTGACACATTTTTTACAAGCTATTGTTGTCTTTTCCGCGTTTGAACCACTGATAGAGCGATTATATGAGACAGGATACGGATTTCGGTAAGTTGTACTCTTTCTTTTGACATACCTTCAGATGTTCATTCATGTTTATTTCATGCTGTAACTGCTATTAAAGCGGAGGAGATGATCAGGTCACGCTGCCGTTCCTAATCGAGGTGCTACAGCGATCTGTCACTATTTAATATTTGATATTTGAATATTGTAATAAAATGGACATAATTTGAAATCTGAGACTTTGTTTCATATCATAAGTAACAAATAACAAAACTTATTGCAATTTATTGGATGGGAGGCGCGGTACAATGTTCCATTCATTATCTGACTGACAGGCTTGACTAATCGATTCTTGGGATTTATGAATCAATATCATTTCATAAAAATGAGAATCGATTAAAATCAACATTTTTTACCAAGCCCTAGTTTAAGGGTCGACCGATATGCGTTTTTCAGGGCCGATACCGATTATTACAGATCAGGTAGACCGATAACCAATATTTTGAACCGATATATATGTCTGGTGTAAAAATGAAAATTAATGTCAAAATTAAAAATAACAAGGCTCTGACAAAAACTGCCTTCCGTGGTGTTGGTTGTGTAGTACTCCCACACTGCACTTCTTACTCTTGTCTTCCTCTGTGCATCCATCTGCAATAAGGGTAATATAAAGGGAGATAAAAGTGGGGCCACTGTATGCTTCATGATTAAGCCTATGAATACTGTACTACAGCTAAACAGCTTGGCGAGCACCACAGTAATATATATCGGATAATTTCTTTAAGCTAACCCAAACTTATATTTTGACGGGTTGCCATGAGGAACTTTTAAGTTTCTGTAGCCTCTGGTAAGTGTTTCCCATACATTGATTTATTTGTGGCGCTTTTAATATCAAAACTGACCGCCACAAATAGATTTTCCAAAAGGCTTTGACTTCGTTGAATAAACCTGAGCACTGCACGTTTCAAAATTGAAACCCGGTGCGGGTGTTTTTATATCACTGTATTTCTGAAGGAACCCGACTGTCTTCAAAAAATTTTGGATGTCATTTTCATTTCATCTTGCATGTAATGTCTGATAAAGCAGCATTTGTGAGTGGAGCGCTGCTTTGTGTACAGCCGTTACCGGGGAAAACTTGATCTCTACCACTCCAACAGCGCCTCCTGCTGACAGAGAATGAATTTGCATATACTGTATGCCGCCACAAATAGAGTGTAAGTCTGTGGGAAACACTGCGATAGTTTTACTCAAATTAAACTGTCAAATGATCATGAAGTGACTCTTAGAGGGAGTCAGCGCAGTTCTGGAGATGTTGTTCATGTATTTATGTCCTCATGAGACGACAGAAGCTGAAATCACCGCGAGCGTCGCACACTTTGTATGTGTTGAAAACAAAACTGCGCGTCTGTGCCATTTACATACACGGAGACACACAGAACATGCAGGATTCATATTTAAATAGTGTTTTTGCGGCTTAATATTTACAGATACTAGTCCATATCGCGACTCTATTTAAGTGTACTGACCTACTTTTAATTAATTCATCCAAACTTTGATAAATTCCGTGACATTCCGCGTCATACAGTAAATTCCATTTATATGACTGGATTCCGCGATTCCGTTTAGCACGGAATCTTTTAGCACGGTAATAAAATCGGCAGATTAAGACAGTAAATTGATAAACATAACACAAGACACTTCTCTTTAAATACAAACGAGACTTTATTGACTAATCTAACACATACAACTAGCACCTAACATAAACACACCCACACACATATTCACACGAGTTGCAGAAAGGAGGAAAGTGAGGAAGAAAGAGTTTAAGAGTGTGAAATGATGTAATCCCAAGTTTTGTAAGACCTAACTGAGTGAAACATCAATCATTAATTCAACCCTTCTATCATTTCTTAGGCGGGATTATTAAATCAAAGCTGTGCACCTGTTCAGCATGAGAGGCATTACTTGCGTTTATTGCGTCTCTTTGAATGGGGATTCCTTCTGTGGTGTCCGTTGTTGACGGAGTTCCCACGTGGGTACACTGGTGGTCTGTTCGTCGCTGGCGTGACGTCTTGGGAGGCCAATCAGGTTGTGGTGTTGGTCTAGTGGAGCGGAGTCTTGTGGTCACTTAAAGTTTGAGGCGGGCAAAGGCTATAGTCGTATAGACTGCAGCTTAGCAGCGAAGCTTAACTTAAATGGGACTCTCGACGGAAAGAAAAGGAAGAAACTAAAGAAGAGAAAGAAGTTAGATGGGATGTTGTCCGGTCTTAACCCATCTTAAGGTGGGAGAGTCTGAGCCCGAGTCTGAGTCTCGGTCTGGATCTGATTCTCTCTCTGTATCTTCTCTTCTGAGTATTGGGTTTTTAACCCAGCTGATTGTTCTGGCCCCAAGTGGAGCTCTGACCAATCAGGTATTGTCTTTGGTTCAGGGGGTGACTGTTTTTCCTCCCATCACTGTAAATCAGCATGTTATCTCTTAGTCATGTGGGCTCGAATTTTCTTGCTCTTAACTAGGTACAATTTAAACATGAATTTTATAATGTGAATGTGATGCATTTTACACAGGTTTGATTAACATCATGATTAAAGAAATGGAAGGAAGAGAAAGAGATTTACTCACTCATACCAAACAAGATACACTTGCGATAAACCATTCAATAGTTAGTAATAATTTCATGCGTAATGCATGATCAAAGCATAATGTTCACATATATGGGTTTCAGACATGAAATTGAGTTATGCAATGAAATTACATTTGAGTATAAACCCTTTATCATCGTTTTGAGGATGATCTGATGCATTTTAATATTTAGTGAGAGTTTCTGGGTTTTAGAGAGGATTTGGTCCTTTAAGGCAAGGTCTGTGTTATCTCTTTGTCTTGAGTGGGGAAGAATCACCAGGTGTTTACATGAATTTCTTTGAGTCACGCTGTGCTAGGGCTGGACAATAATTCAATATCAATATGTATCGCGATATCATTTTTTTCAATAACAGTGATATGATTTTTAAACACATTTCCGATATTTCGATATACATTACCAGTTTCCCATACATTGATTTATTGGTGCCGTTTGACTTCGTTGAATAAACATGAGCACTGCACGTTTCAAAATCATAACACGGCGCGGGTGTTTTATATAAATGTATCTCTGAAGGGAACCGACTGTCTTCAGAAAAGTTTCGATGGCATTTTCATTTGATCTGATAAAGAAGCGTTCATGAGCGGAGCTGTGCTTTTGACCATTTGTTCTTGGTTTAAAACAACATAAATTTGAATGGTTATTCCTTGAGTTAAAAGGGTTTCTTTGTTTGAGGTTAATTAAACTCTGGGGGAAGTTTGCCATTCTCAGTCCAGATGGTGCCACATGACATGGATTGGGGTCGTAAATTGTTGCTTCGGAATTTGGCTCTCCTGATCAAAGCAATTCTAATCAAATGATTCCGATCAAGTCATCTGTTGATTCAACCATTGTAGTCTGTGTGGCTCAGTTCCTACATGGAGCATAGTCTTGGTTAAAACAACCATATTTAATACAAATTCAGTTGAATTTCTACCCTGCACATTCCTCGCTTACATGCACAGATAATTTCTAGAATCTGCACACTACAGCAGGTCTACTTAAGTCACACTACTGCATTTGAGCAGTTCAGTAAGTTTTGATAATATTACTAGGGTAAATATATTTGATCTATGGTACAACTATGTAACAAATCCCAATATTAGCGAGATTACAGAAAAAAAATATAAACACCTGGGGTCTCATTTATAAAACTCTGCGTAGATTTCATCCTAAAAGTGTACGTATGCACAAAAGCTAGATTTTACGTACACACAAAAGTTTTTAGATTTATAAAACCATGCGTATGCCAGAAACTGCAAAAATCCCTTTATAAATACCAGTCAGGGCAAGATTGTGCATACGTGCATCTCCACCCTGTCGCCTCCCCGAAATCACCATGTATGGAGCAAACAATGCGTAGTTTTACTATGCATAACCTCATCTGCATATCATTTCCATGGATATTCCCATCCACGTGACACCATGTTTAACATGACTATAAATGCCATTTGTGCCTTGCACAATTTTTATTGCTCAAAATCATGCGGTATCCTTATGTTTTAGAATAAATATATCAAAATATCCATAAAAACAAAACTGTTTAAAATAGTTCTCAGATAAATATTTTAGAATAGAGTTGATCTCATTCTTTTCTGCTGGCCAAATAGTATTTCAATTGTTTTAAACAATTCAAATCAAATTTAATTTATGCAGTTTTGCTGATAAGGTGAACATCTTGTAGCTATTTTTAGCCTATATTTATTGCAGTGTAAATAGAATTGTCTGACTCGTCGCTCACTGACAAAGTATTTTAAAAAGGAAACATGCAAATCTTACTGTTTTCTTCAAGTTGTATCCTTCAAATACAGTGATATTTTCATAATGTTGTGGAGTTGCCTTCACACGGCATCAACACCTCCGTGCAGCTGTGGTTGTACAGTAAGCTATTATCATTGGACCTATTCAAACTGGACAATGGACCGTTCGACCACCGAATCCAGAAGTGTCTGCCATAATATCGAAGTAAGTGCGCATCATTGGTCATTGATCATTGTTCTCGCTAAAAATATTTTCTCATAACATGAGATCTGCAAGTTAAAAAATGAATTGTTGTGCACCTATAGCACTTCTCGCTGTCATTAAAGCATAGCATGCCACAGGAAAAGTGATCAAGCTCATCCACTATAAATGTCTAAATTTATAAAATTTTTGTTTAACTTCTGCATAATGACTTTATGTAATTTCAGTGCTTATCTCCATTAATGAGAGTGGAATATTTAATATAAATGTGTATATCAAAATGAGAACAGAGTTTAAAATCATTGTTTAATTACTTCATTACTTTTCTCACTCCAGGAAAAAGAGTGTACATGCATAGTTTAGAATGTCCGTACTGTGCGTACATATTTACGCCAAGTTTTTTTTAAATAAATCCTGATGTGTGCGTGGAAAATTGTGTACGCAATTTCTATGCCCATTTTGTGCGTACGCAACATTTATAAATGAGACCCTTGGTATGCTAGTGGTTCGTCCATTGGAAATGGTCCTCAGGAGAACAAACTCTCCCAACTATAGTTCCTACCCCCACATATACTGAACCTTGTGTACCAAATAAAATCCCCAGACACCAAGAAGAAACAGGAAGTTACAAGAAAGTCCAGCACATCATTATGGGAAATGGAGTTAATATAGCATCACAGTTTTATCAGTCAAGAGATGAAGACTTGACAATCTTAATTCTTTCCACTTTACATATATTACTGACCTCAATTAAATATTAATATGTAGAGGTGCTACATAGTCCCCACCCCAATCTATGACATAGGAGGACTACGCCCATAGTACCTTTTCAAATTAACAACATTAATATTGTCAGTTTTTTCAGGAAAACCCCATCTTATGCAGTAATTTACTGGCCCTAATTTCTTCCACTCTCCCAGGCTCCTTCCATTTGGCTTGGCTGAAAACCTGTTAGGTGCACTAGAGATAGCATGGGAATGGAAACAAACAGATCTCCCAGTTTAAACTGCACATTTTTATGCCGGGCATTATAATATCCGGCCTCTCTGGCACATTGCACTCCCATTCTGCACGCTTCATCTTCTACTAATCTTCTTTGTCGGTCTAGCAGGGTATGAGCAGCTTGATTTGGAGTCTATGGTTTATATAAAAGCCTTTCCAGGAGACCTTTCAGTGATCATCCCAGCATCAGCTGAGCAGGAGTCACACCAATCGACTCATAATGAGCTGAATTGATGGCAAACCTTAGTTCTGGCAGCCATTGATCCCAGTTGGAATGCTTATCTCCAACAAAGGACGCAATAATAGTCTTCAGGGTCTCATTCACTCTCTGTTAAATTTGTTTGGGGTTGGTAGCTGGTCGTCAGCTTCTGCCCAACCCCCCTAATCTTTACAGAGTTCAACCAAAAGATTTGAAGTGAATTGAGGCCCCCGTTCTGAGACAAAATATCGAGGAACCCCCCACCGGGTAAAGATCTCTTCCTTCAGTACCTTCACTATCCTGGGTGTTGTACTATCCCTTAATGGAAAAAGTTTGACCCATTTGGTATAGTAATCAACAATCACTAACAGGAAAGTATTTATTTTCTTTCTTAAGGGAAAAGGACCCTTGAGATCAATCCCCAGAGTATGACCCGCTTCTGTAACTTCCGCTGACTGCATAAGCCCAGAGGGTCTGGAATGTTCTCCCTTATACCTCTGACAGATGTTACATGTCTTGACATGTTCCCAAACATCCTTACGGACAGTAGGCCACTATGCCACCTCCAAGACCCTTACCAGAGTTTTTAGTCTGCCTAGATGTCCACCCAAGTGGTTGTCATGGAAGTACTGCAAAAACTATCTATCTAAAACTTGGGAAACCATGACTTGGAATTTATACCCATCTTGCTTCAGAGGTACTCATCTATATAAGATGCCTTGATGTTCCTCCATCATTATCCTCCCTGGTTTTTGTGGCAGATCATGGTTACTGTTTTTCATTGATGGAATGTTTGGGTCACTTTTGTGCTTTAGCTATCTCAGATAGATTGTGAGGTAAATCCTTGGTGAGTTTGGATCTTGTCATTACCATGCATGGTGCCATACCTTCTGAGCAGGTTTGATACACTCTTGAGAGGGCATCTGGGGCATAGTTGAGGCAACCCTTCCTATACAGGACTTTCCTATAAAGTTGAAAGCTTGTAGTCGCAGAATCCATCTTGTCAACCTTGAGGACATCTTTGGGCAATTAAAGGCCTAGGTCAAGGCTGCATGGTCAGTATAAACTTCAAATTCTCCTCCTTCTAAGTAGTGCCTCCACTTCTCAATAGCCCAGACCACTGCCAGGCATTCCTTCTCAGTTGTCGAATAGTTCATTTCAGCACCCCTCAACACTCTTGAAGCATAGGCAATAATCTTCTTACCATCTTCAATAGTCTGAGTGAGGATGGCTCCCAACCCTATCTCACTTGCATTGGTATGGACCTGGAATGGCAGTGACAAATTGGGCTGGGCTAGAACAGCAGGGCTTGCAATAGCTTGATTCAGTTCCTCAAAAGTGTTTTGGCACTCCTGTGTCCAATTCCAACTTGCTTACTACTTTAAATTATTCAAAGGGGCAGCAATGTCCGCAAAGTGAGCTATAATAATAGCCACCCCACAAGTCCCAGGAACCTTTGCAAACAAAAGGATATCAGATAGCACAGAATATTCAGTTATGGCTCTAGTCTTGTCAGGGTCCACCTCCACTCCGTGTACTGAAACCAGATGCCCCAGGATCTTCAGCCGACATTGAAAGAAATGACATTTCTTCATGTTCAGGCTTAAAACCCGCTTTAGGCAATTTCTCCAACACTGCTTTCAGATCGACGATGCTATTCTTTTGTTTTAGAATATATGGTGATGTCATCAATATACATGAAGCATCTTTTGACAGTCATCTCCCTCAAAACATTCTCCATCGAACGTTGAAATGTAGCTGATGAGTTTCGAAGTCCAAACGGCATAGTAGTGCAGGTGATATGTGAAAATAATGTTCACTTTTTCATAAAAGCATGAAACCTGGTACACTTGTATAGTTTGCGGCCCTAAACATTTTCAGAAATGGAGCCATCGCAAAAACACTTTGTGGTTGCCATGGCGACTATTTTACTTTCCACCATAACCAAATTATGTATTTTGTGTCATAGCTCCTGAACCAAACATGATAACACAGAAAAGGTGATGTCTACCCCTATGTTTTGATGGTCAAGGATTACAATGATACCATATAGAAAAACATTAACTGTTATGGTGAAGAGTTAATGGTGAAATCAGCAATGTGAGAAGGAAATCACAGTATCTGTGC